ATGTATGCGTTAAGTGTAGAAATATGTCATTCCTTTGCTTAAACTATTGGCTAAATTGCGGGCATAAGCATATGTACACATGTGTGTGTTTTTTTGCTGTCGTTTTAAGGCTTCTGATTTCATTTTTCGTCTATACAAAAGTAGTCACAATGGCTGGCTAATTTAAGATATGGACGTGGTGACTAGGACCCAAGCTTACTCACGGTATAGACACCTTTACATATACATACAATACGTACATTAGGGCGGGTCAATTTGTATGGGAGATTTTTTCGGCTATGCGCGTATAACACAGAGCGGATTCTACGTGTAATTCTAAGCAAATTTGCCGAAGAAGCTATGGATCTAAAATCTGTTTGGAGTGTGCCAAATTGCAAAAATAGGTTGCTTAGCATTTTTCTGTAGTGTAATAAAGAAGTACTTAAATTTTGTATAAAAACATTCTGCAAGGGTTGTTCGGTATAAGGAATCCAATTATGCATTTATCTTTTTCTTAAAACTTCCACCAGAAGGCGCAACAGTAAAAAATTCCACATTTTCTTCGAAACCTATTTTCCCAATTTGGCAAACACCAAATTGATTTTAGAGTAATGGTTTCTATGGCAAATTTGATTAGAATTACACGTAGAATCCTCCTATGCTAAACGAGCATTGTCAAAAAGAAATTTACCCGCCCTAACATACATATAGGTAGGTATGTGAATATGTACGATTATTGGAGTAAGCGATGATTGTAAAATATTCATTAAAGGAGAAGGTTTCGCTGTTTCCTTTTCGATGCAATGTTTTAATCTGCTGGGATTTTTTTTTGATGCAACGGAATTTTCTCCAAAAACCACACACCAATTTACATAACTACAAAGGATTTAAGCTTTGTTTTTTTATGATCAAGTTGCTGGTAGTGGCCGCCGATCTTGTTCGAGAATCGTAAAGTGTTTTTGTAAACCTTTGCAAGCCTTTGAGAAGGAAGTGTTTGGTGGGTTTGCTGCGGTGTTGATCCTACGACGCACCTAAAACCAGGGCTCTTTAAGGAATGAGTAAAAAAAAAAATACCTACGAACTCACGGCAGTATGCACAGGACACTAGCTTATTGGGGTACAAGCCCAAAGGATTGGATTACTCTTCAAAATGTTGTGTCGCATTTGCGAGGTTCTGGGCTCAAGAGCGAAAGTTGAATACTCGCTGTGCCAGCCCTCGAAAAGGCTAAATACACTCTATAAATCATCCCTGCTGAATATTTGAGAGTGCAGCCGCCTCTCTGTATTAATTACTGAGATTTTTTAAAGCCGCCAAATGGTTGTAGGGTGCAAGAGTTGTGGAATAAAAATGGCAAAACTTGGTAATTGCTTGTCAACAGGTTGACATTTCACTAAAACCAAGCAAGTATTTGGAGTGGCAAAAAATAAAGCACTAAAATACTGATATTTCCAAAAAGTCAAATTTGCAAATAAGTTCGGAGGAAATTATTATAAACTGTTATCTATATTAGACTGCATCACTCCCCATACAAAAAAAAATAGGTACTATTTTTTCATTGGAATTATAAAATCTATTATATTTTAAGACATCCACCAAAATATTTCGGAAAAATATTAAGATTAACGTGATTAGACGGATTTGAAAATACCTCTAAAAATGGAGTTTTTTATGAATAAAAATAATTTCTTAAATATTTTTTTGAAAATTTCCCCTCAAATGATAAAACGTTTTAAGTTAAAAAAATTTGCATAAAAATAGTTAAAAAAAAAATTTTTAAAATTTTAAACTGAATCTAAATCACTAAGTCTAAATAAGAATATGGAGCTGGAAAAGTATGTTCAGTAAAAAATAAATCAAATATTTAAACAGTTTTAGCCTTATGTAGGCGAAATAGTGCCCAAATTACTATTTTTTTTATTGCAAATCGCAAAACTCGTCATTGTTTTTTTTTTTAAATTACTTTAGGAAGTTTTCAGATGGAATGTTCATATTACAGACAATGAAATTTGGCACCAAATGCAACATCCATGTCTGTGAAGTTTGAAAAGTGTGCCACCAAATTAAAAAAAAAGAATATTAAAAAGTTTTTATTGAGCTTGAGGCGGTTTTTATTGAAAAATTTATTGTGGAAAAGCAGCAATAATTTGAAATAAAAATGGTATAAGTGATAGCTATTTCGAAAATCACCACATTTCCTCATCAGACTTCTTTCAGTAGGATTCGAACCGACGATCTCATTGACTCAGCCTACGTTGCCTACGCACTGTGCTAAGTTCGCCTTGTGAATTCTTTTGCTTTTTTCCACTATATCATTTATTAAGCCAACCACAATCAAGCGCAGCTATTCCAGTGCTATTTACACTTGATCGTGTGGTTGTTGGTTTTTGTTAATATTTCTATTATTAGAACGTGTAACTTTAAGTTGTGGTCGCCCTTAAGTTATTTTTTTTTTTTTGTTTTTTTATGGCCTTACAACAATTATATAAAATAAAATTGTTGAACATAATTGTTATAAGGCCATAACATAACAAAAAAACTAAAAAAACTAAAAAAAGAATATCTGTCACAGCTATTTTGAAATTAACAGATCTATTTACAGAGTAATAGCACTAGTGTGCCTTTAAATGAAAAAGAATCACATCAAATCACATCAAGAATCAAAATTTTAAAAATTTTCATTTAAACACAATTCCGCAATGAAATACTGATTTAGTCCGATTTCAAAGCGCAATGTGAATTCCAAATTCGGTCGAGATCGGTCAAGTAGTTTTTGAGATACGCATATAAGTGGGCGGTACCACTAAAAATTCTAAAAAAAAAACCTCTTCTTTGCTAAAGAAGGATTGTATATATCAATTTTTAATAAATATTGATGAACTCTTTAGCCACACTGCTCAAAAAATCTTAAATTCCGGTACGTATTTAGAAAAGTCGCCTAAATTCGACAATATTTATGCGATTGCAATAAATGAGGTATCAGTTTATTGGGAAAATAGATTTAATTTTAAATAGTACTTCATATTTTGAAATTCTAGGAATTATCGATGGTCAAATTTAAAAAATTAAGAGAAATATGGGTCTTTTTTAATTTACCAGATAAAAAATTGCAACAAGCCTCGTTCGACAATAGATTATTATATAAAATTTTAAAGGTTTATATACATATCTTCTTCTCAGTTAATATTCGATCTTTGAAATCGAATCAAAAATAGTTATTCAAAAATTTCATAAATTTACAAAATCCTTTTTTTCTGACCTAAATCGAAAAAAACTATAAAAATAGGCGATAATATTTCTCATAAAAACGAATAAAATTAGGGGAAAGGGTCTTGAAATTTTCAAAAAAAGCATTTTGGATGGCCACCCTAGTGCGCATAGTAAGAACAAATCCAGGCTAGATGAAGGCAAGTTGTATCATTTACTATAGAGCTTCATGCCGAGTACTTGAAGACGCGTGGTTTTTGCGCAAATATTTCTAGAAAACTCTCTACTATACTACTAAACTGCCTACACCGAATAAAATACCTATGTATGTATGTAACACATTCATATTACATGTACATGTGAATGTAAAGTACGCACAACCTATGTGCCAACATTTGTAATTGATCATCAACACCTAATCTGGGCGATGCATTTTATTCAATTTGAATATTATGCCGTTTGAATGTTGGGAAAATGTTGAGAGGATGAAATAGAAAACGAATAGTAGTAAGTAGCACAGAGTAGAATGTGGCCACGTGAACTGTACCATAAAAATCTCGCAAAGGATTTTTGAGAAATGTGTGCCTTGTTATAGTCCAAGGTCGCAGGGCCGTCAGACCTAACATATATTCGATATAATAAAATTTAAGGAATAAGTAGTGTTATATGTAATTAACAATGTAGATTATTAAAGGTAATCGATTGGCGTATATTTATGTATAACTTTATTTCCATCTTCGTTTGGTGAGTACAAATTAATTTTAAAGTTTTGTCTTACTTTAGAATATAACTGTCAAAAGCTAAGGCAAATATACGATTTTTTTTTAATACTTGTATGCCAACCTAAATATTGTAAGTACTTCACAATGATGTAAATTTTTTAGAAATCTGTGACTTGCCGAAATTTCCGAGATACAGTTCACGAGGCCAAAATCAGTAGTGAATAGATGTTGGGTGCGATGTGAGTGAGTTCTTTGTTTTAAAACCAGAAGAAAAGCGAGTGGAGCTACTACCTGCCAGTATGTAAATAAACGAATGCAAAACAGTGTGGGGAGGCAAGCCAAAAAGCTCAAAGCCGCAATTGCGAACTGACTAGTTGAAAGCGCTGGCAGTAGGAATAGTGGCATCGGGAGGCAGGTGATGGCTTAAGTGAAGAGTATGCGGTAAGTGGCTGAGGCTAGAGTAGAGTGCTCTCATTGTGTTGAGCTGCATTTGTACGCATGCAGATCGTTTGCCTTATAAATATTTGGTATACGGATTGCTTGAGTGCTAGGTTGCTGATATACATAATGTACTTACATAAGTATGTAATTTTAAGCACTGCAGAAAATGCGACGAATCCGTAATGACTCCCAGAGTAATCGCAGAAGAGTATGCGACTTATACCACTTTTGATCTCTTTATATGGAATGAATTTTTCGCTTTTGTTCGGGCATGTTCTATGAAACTACCGATTGTTATCTTTTTTGCCCGAAGAGTTATGAAAAGTGAACAGCCACTACGTATGAATTAAAAAATAAAAGTAAGAAAATTGCGTTATTTGATATTAGAACGGGGATCTTGGGTTAGAATAGCGAATACTCTCTGTAAATGTGCTCTTTAGAGATGATTCGAGGGCCTATTTGACTATAAGGGTAATTGCGACTAGTTTGTACGAAATTTTACTCCATGCAAATTAATACAGGAGTTATCTCTTTAGGTTTTAGTTGCAACTTTTTTTTTGCGAGCGGTGTTTACTTGTTATAGCTGTATGCATGCGATTGTTGCTGCAAAGTAATTCTGTCGTAATGCGTTTTTTTTTTAATTCCATTTTCAGCTCCTTGGATGCATTCCAAATACCTTTTATTGGCAGCTCCAAGGATTTTGTGGTCTTAATTTGCAATTCAGGTGTACGCCACGAATTATCGCATAGTGAATATCCAACAAGACGTAAACAATGCGGCGAGGCACTCAAGCTAATGGCAAAGGCGAGCTATAGAGATGCCAACGAGGATAACTTGTCAGGTAATTAATGTCACTTAAATTAGAATGGGTATAGCGGTGTATTGTTGTTGTTGATGGTGATGCAAATTGGGTGAGAGTTTTGCACTATGCGGCATTGTTTTAATTTGAATTCAGATGATGAATGTCCTACTTGCTATGTTGGTGGACTAGACAATGATAAAGGATTTCAGAATTTGAGTGATGCTAATTAATTAAACAAAACGAGGAAGAGCCGTGAAGTATTGATGCTAAATAACTGTCTAAAGAAGTCAGATGTTAAAAAAGATGTAAATGTGTCTTTTGGAATGTGAATTTTTCTGCTTTGTAATGGTACTTTCTTTTAATTTGATAGCAAGTATAACAAGAATAATTTCCTGATCAATATTACTATGTAAATATATTTACGTTTGAGGTAACAAATGCAATAGGAAATTTCTTTAGAATTTAAAAAATTTAAATTTTTTGCATTCACAAGGACGATTATGTTATTTTTTATCTGACAAAGTTAGAAGAACGATGTTATCGAGTTTGTATAAGCCCTTAACATATAAGTTTTTCAAAAACAAATACTGCAAAATTTCAAAGATAAAATTTTAAAATGATATTTTCAATATTTACCAGCCCTTCTGCATCAGTTTAAATTCTACAGGCTTTCCTCATTATTTTAATACCCATACTTCTTCTCTAAGCACATTTCTCTGAATTTTTTAAATCATTTTTGAATTACTGACGTCAGAGGAAAAAACTAAAAACGCAATTTTACTATATTTGTCCCATGGTTTCGCGAATATATTGATATTTGTGTTTACAATTTACTATCGCGAAGTGTTATACGTATAATGAGCTACACATTTATAAAAAAATATTAATTATTATTAAAAGAAATAAAGCCAATATTGGTCAAGAAAAGGAGTTTATATTATTGCCATCAGTGCAAATTGCAAATGCCGAAAATCCCGGGATTTTCGAGTCCTTAAAAAGTCCAGGATAACGGCATCACATTCGTAGACCCAATACATAAGTTTGTCGGTTTCAATAATAAGTCAATTTCAATTTCAATCTTCTAATATACATACATATTGATAAGAATTGGTGTTTACATAAATTGTTGAAAACTATGTGCATACTTCAAAGCATGTATTATTTTCAATTCATTAGACTATTGTCATTTATCCATGCAAAATATAAATATGTTTACTGAAATTGTAGGGCCTTCTTGATTTTTGCAAATTCAACTGCATATTTATTTAACTAATGAGTTTATAAACAGATGTTAGCCAATTATTCCTGAAATCACTTCGTCAGTTGTCATGTTTTTCATAAAACCAAATGTTTATTAAATTAGAACTAAAACAAAAATTTTCCACACACATATATAGGCCATGTATACATACATACGTATGTACTTCTGTTTTCCACAACCATGCTTCTACGCCAGAAGAAATGCAACACGTACAAATGAATATAAGTATGTAATTATATTTTTTAAATAACATATATTCCACAGGATATAAGCCACGTAGAATTAAATCTCTATCAATGTTTTTATTTGTGTAGAGATAATAGGAATATCTACATATTTGTGTATCTATGTATAAAGTTATGTGTTTAAAAACCCACGCAGCTAGTACTTATATACATATAGTATGTATGTATATTCCTTAAATGGAATATGTTAAAGTTTGCCTCATAGGAAAGTTAGTGTCACAACGAATTCTGAGTCTCTGTTTGCCTTACTGCACAAGTGGGGATGCAAACAATCGATTGAAAACTCGATGTTTTTCATCGATGCTTATACATATTTTGCCAAAATTTGTAAGTTGAAGATACATCGATGTCAGTTTTGGCGATATTTTAAACATCTACTTTAGTGTGACTCAGACTTGCTTTGGATTCAACTTATCCATTATGCGCATACAATTTTTTAAATGGAATTTTACTACTCATTCTACTACCAGAGCTTGCAGTATTAACCCTTTGTCCAACGGCCTAGTCCAATGGACCAGCATGAGATTTTATTGTTTGCTTGTCAATTTTATTATGCGGTATAATATTTATTTCAATAGTGCTCTTGAGCTTTGTACCACGATTGTTATTCTTTAAGAAAAATAAAAAAAAACAACAAAGCCTAAGGGTTGAAAGCTATAGCTGCTATTTCAGAGATCACCACATCTCATCAGAATTCTTTCTCTAGACTTCAGCAGGAATCGAGCCCGCATTATCGATGTGCAAAGCCAGTAACACAAGCCGCTGAGCCATGTACACCGCGTAAACTCTTGTTGCTAATCTATTTACTTATTCAACGGCGGTAGTACGGATGCATATGCCAAGATAAACTTTCTTGTGGATTGGGCGGAGTATATTTAAATTCGAGTTGATAAATATGCTTCCTTTCGACCATATTCCGCATAAAAGTGAAATAGCTAATCGTACCTCGCCATTGTAGCGCGATGTGACTTCGATTAAGTCATCATAGACTAGGGATACGGTTTCACCACCTCCTCGTGGAGAAGATGGGGTCGTACTGCTTGCGTACATCGGTTTGTTTAAGAGTGCTCTCAGAGAGCAGGGGAGCCAGTCGAAACGCGAAGAAGTTGGGTATCTTGGCTGCAACAAGATAGTAGCCTCAGTGGATATTTGATCTTCGCATCGTACGTACGTGAAAAATACGGAAGGTATTCCTTTTTTCCATCACAGTGCGATCGCTTTGGTTCTTCGACTTTCAACCTGGAAACATCAATGAAGTTATTTTATGTATGCTAGAAACTTCTGCTGCAGACTACCACGTTGAGGTGCAATATCTTGAAATTTTTTCTAGACTCCAAACTTAAGTGGAGCCTGAGCATTGTGGGATGAACATAGAAGGCTCCATTTTGATTGTTGATGAAAGGAGGGTGTTTAAGTGACTTATACATTTCCCTCATAAACAAAGAGCAGCAGACACACACGCTCATTTGAATAGCATTTTTGCCTAAACTTAGTGCAGCGAACGCATACATGCACTTGTGTTTAAAAGCAATTCGCACATTCTTAAGTGGATATGCATTTTTTATACAATTCTCAAACCTCTTGTCGCTGATCTTAATGAAGTAATATCTCGCTGGCATTTCCAGCCATGGTCAACGCTAACCCAGCTTGACTATCACACGGTGCTTTAAGCATCGATTCCACTGCACTCCTGGATGCATTTTTGAGATAGTAGTAAGCATCCCTGAATAAATCCCAGCTCATTGCACAACAGCCTACGTAAGCTAGAGCATGACACCTACAAAGGAGGGAGTACCCCAATTAATAAATGGTAAACGGTTCACATAATGCACTATCTCCCTCTTTCCCTCTCTCTCTCTCTCTATCGCATATTAGGCATATGAAGTGCGTGGTTGACTTGACGTGCATCTATGTATAAACCAAATGGGCTCATTGAGCTCGATATATAAACAATCGCAACAAAGGTTATCCCTATCTCCTCTACTCCGCTAACTCGATAACAACTCTAAACCTGGTCTCCCGCTCTCCATCAGCTAAAACGCGGGGTGGATAATATGGATAAAACTGCCGTGTTTTATAAAATTCTAGACATTGTGAGGTATTTTGCTCGAAATAATAAAATGTTGTTCACTAGCTAGCGGTTCTAATCGTTGAGTTAAGCTTTCTCTACAAGGCATATATCGATATGCATGCATACATATACATATATATTTCAATTTACACTCGCGCATATGTATGCAAGTGTGTGCTTTGCGTCATATCCCGTAGCGTTTGTTTTAACACTTTGTCGCTTTGCCATTTGTTGCATTCATTTGCAGTGCAAAACGTAAACACAGAGCGCTGCTGGCATGCGCTTAGCATGGCAATTGGTTTCGTTTGCGCCTGTAAGCATGCAACAAATAACACACACAACGCAGCGGGACACACAGCTATGGCGAGTGAGCTGTATGCGGGATTATTTATGCAAGTGCGGAGAGTGTGAAAAATCAAATGCGCACCACACAAATATGCCACTGCACATTAGTGTACGCGCGTGTTTATTTATCCCCCAGTGCACTACGTTTGGTCACAGTTTATTCTATTTATTTCAGTTGTATGTCTCCCCGGGCGAATGACCGCCACGACGGGACGCACATACTAGTTACTGGCTGGCAAATGAAATGAACTGAGTTAGAAGGAAAAGCAGCGTCTGCTATTCTTCTTCTTCTTCTTGCTCATTAAATCCAACCATGTTTGTCATTTAATTTAAATTAAAGTGTGACATTTATATGCAAAGGTACAAACAAACATATTTCTGTGGGCGTGCATGTGCGTGTTTTTTTGTATTTTTTTTCTTGTGCCTAGCTTAATTTAGTCCGTCGGCTGTTTGTTGAGTTGCTTGATTTTATTCAACAAGAGTATTTTTTGTTTGTTTTTTTTTTTCTTGTGGCAGATCGCAAATCCTTGTTTGCTTCGTTGGTTCGTTGTAAAAATTTCCATTGAATTCATTTGCATATTCAACATCAATTCAATTGCAACATTCGCTTGAATTGCACTTAATGTAAAAATTACGCAAAATACTTGCGCAACATTTGACTGCTGTTGTTGTTGTTGTTGTTGTTGTTTTAAATACGTACAGCAGTTGCTGTCGTGAGTGCGCCTGAACGCACACAATGCTTTGCACGCGCATTCGCCGCCATGGTTGCGTCGTCCCTCACAACCTCGTACGGCTGCTTACTCACATACATGCATACATGCATACTTACTACTTCAGGCATTGGCTGACGGCTAAAGGATCTCGAGTGCTGCGCGCTCCTACTGCCATGGAATTTGAGGTACATACATAGCTAGTCCATTGATGCCTGTTTTGCTTCAATCTTTCACCAGCACCACAAAATACCATTACCACATAAATTTTTTCTCCACTTCTGCGCTCTTTTTTAATTTACAATTCCAGCTGTGGCAATGCGCGTCCCCATAGGCAATCAAGTTGTTTCGCACCCTCGGCAGAAGTAATGAAATTATTAGACATTCAAGCAGTTTTTGCATACATA